CCAGGTAACATTAATCTTTTCTGCCAACATACCTGCCTTATCAGTTATACTGCTACTTCCGAGTCCTGCTCCTCCCATTGCTGTGTCCTTCCTTCTGTTTCCCCAGATATATGGTAAGTTCCCACCAATTCTTCACAGACTCATTCTGTTTTTTCTTTCAGTGAAAGTCCCTACAGAGGCTGCTGCTCTAGCAGTAGAAAGATTTAGTGGGAATCACTGCAAGTGATTGTTTCCCTGCTTCTGCGCAGTGCCCAGGGTGTATAGCAATGTTAGAAGCTGTGTGGGAAGTTAGAAGTTGTTTATATTAGGCAAGTTCTGAACACAAATGACTGATAGTACTGGGAGAGGTTAACCTAGTACTTTCATTGCTGAAGCAACAAAGCATGAGAAGCACTATATTTGAAACTGGTTGTAAATACATTTACGTAAGTGTTGCCTTACACATGGAATTCATTGCTGCAAGGTATTACTAAATTGAATACTTAAATACATGTTTGGCTTTGTATATGGTGAGAAAGGACAGATTTAACCCCACAAAATGATGGGGAAGAATGAAAGGAAGATAGGTGCAGGACTTGGTACAGGTTTGTGCTTTGACCACATGGTACAGTGCACTGTCCTGGCTAATGTTAACAGAGAGTTGAAAGCTGCCTTTATTTTTTTTTCCCCTTCCTCTGCTGAGAAGCATACTTCAACTCCTAGAAATTGCTTTAGTTTCCATTCTTGTTTAATGTGGCTTTGTACACTGTAAGGTGATGTCTTAATGGCTTAAATACCTGCTAGTCCTTGAGGTTGGTGCATGCAGTGGCATGGTGAGGAACTGCCCTTCCTTTCCCTACAGTGGGTGGAAAAACTTTTGCTGGCTTCAGTGGAAGAATGACTGGGCATCTAAGACAAGAAATCCCATGAAGGTTGTTGCTTTCAGACCCTAATTGTGCAGTTACTGAACACAAAGGACTATGCGTAAAATCCAGGGCAGTAATAATTATTCTGAGTTTTCTGATGCTTTATCTTAGGCACCAGTGAACTACTACTGTACAACTTAATTCCTGAAGCAGTGCAACAATTACTTGGAGGCATTGTGCATAAAACCAGATCTTTATTGTGTTCTGGGAAGAACCTTGACAAATAATAATAAAGTCATAGATGTGCAGGGAGCTCCTTTGTCATTTGTATACCACCAACATATGAAAAGCTAAAATGCAGTCGTGTTGCATCTACCAGGTCCTGAATGACAACAGAGGGCACGAATCAGTATTGTCTGCAGTCCAGCTGAAGAATTAAACCCTTTGAAGTTTGTCAAAGTTTCTTTAATCATAGAACAATTTTGGTGGAAAATACCTTTAAGATCAACAAATCCAATTGTTAACCCAGCACTGCTAAGTCCAGCACTAAACCATGTTCCTGAGGACCACATCTACCCATCTTTTAAATATCTCCAGGGATAATTCAGCCACTTCCCTGAGCAGCCTGTTCCAGTGCCTGATAACCCTTTCAGTGAAGAAATTATTCCTAATATCCAAACTAAACCTTCCATGACACAACTTGAAGTAATTTCATGTTGCTTGTTACTTGGAAGAAGAGACCAGCACCCACCTCACTACAACCTCCTTTCAGGTGGTTGTAGAGAGTGATAAGGTGTCCCCTCAGCCTCCTTTTCTCCAGGGTAAATAACCCCAGTTCCTTCAAGTGCTCCTCATAAGACTTGATGATACAGTGGCTTGAATATTGGCATAATAATTTAGATCAATATTTAGATAGCTAGCAAATTTGGTGGTATAAGATAGAAAATGTTACCTTTATCAGATAAGAAAAATCTTGTCTGGTGCACTATGACTGCCTATGCAAACCAGCAAGCAACTGATCTTGAAACATGGTGTGCTGTGGTCTGACAGAAGCTGCAGGTATCCAGGACCTTTTGTGGCCAAGCCTGTTGTTCAGTTTCACACTTCTCAAGTAGATAGTTAGCAGGCTAAAAGGGTTAAGAAATGCTGGCTGTTTAACGCAGCCACCTAGCAGGCTTCAGTAACAAACCAACAGCTGCCTTTTGGCTCGGTATAAAAAGTGGGATTTGAGTATTTTGTATTGTGTCTCAGAGGAAGTGGTCTTTGAAGAACTTCTGTTCCAGTCTACAGAACAGGCTGAAGTCTTGCATCGTCTGCAATACGCAAGTCAGCTCTTACTATGGTGCTGTGACAAGCACCTCCACAGTAAACAAGTAGCTGCTGAAATCTTTGAAGGGCATACTGCTGCAATCCAGGATGAATGTCATTAGATGGAATTTTTGGGGATTGAATTGCTTGAAGATTGCCATATAGACAAAATGTGTCATAAGCTGAGGCAGTGAGCAAGGGCTTAGGAGATGTTGTTCCTGGTCTGTTATGTCACTGTCCAGCCACAGTCTTTCTGTGCTGTCATTTCGTGTCTATGGGATTAGCAGCAGTTGCTTTTTCCTTTGTCCTGTCTGATGTCTTTGGTTCCTAATGACTGCAGAACTTATTTATGATCCTCATTTTTGTACCTTTAGAGAATGCTTAAATGAAAGTGATTGATACTAGTTGTTTCTGAGCCTTGGATATCTAATGTGTCACACTGCAGCCAGCTGGCTGGGTGAGTGTGTGTGATCTTGTGTGTTTTTCTCGGCACCAACAGCTTGTTTTCTATATGGCTTTTGTTATGGTGATGTGGTGCCATGATGAAAGTTGTGCATTTCATCCACAGTTATAGTTGTAATGAGGGTGCAGTTGTCACCAAGGTACACAAGATGTTCCTCGTGAATTACGCTCAGCTTCCAATGTACTGTCCTCTTTGTCCTGACAGTGCTTAAGTGTCAAACCTTGCAGGTTCAATCAGAAAGCCTTTGAGGGATTTTGTGGAGGGTGGACTACTTCTTGGCCTTAAAATCCTTTGGCAAAGCTGCTGCTAAGCTAGTCCTTTCCAGTCCCATTTCTTTTGAGACTTCTAAGTTAAGATGCTGTTTATAGGAAGCTTTGGTCCCTTAAATCATAGAGTCCATCTTGCAGGACTGACTCTTTCCAGGTCCTGCTTTCCAAATCTCACTTTGTTCTTGTGAAGTTTGGCCTGACTGAGATTGTGAAAAACTCCAGAAGGCCATGGCAGGTCCCCTGCCTGCTCCTGGAACCGTTACTTCAATTCTCCTTCCCCATTGACACCTCACATCTGCATTCAAGCATGCTATGAGATCCAAGCTGCTGAGTTCCAAAATTCTTTATTGTTTTTTACTTCTGTTTCTGGGAGCCAAAGCCATACTGGGCAGCTTATCAGCACTCAGCTCTCTAGAGGTAGAAAATTCATGGGCATGCTGGGGGATTGGTCTTGCTGTGCTTGTGGCTAGATGCAAAACCTTCACCAACTTCAGTTAAAACTGAATGCATCTATTGTGTAATTTGGCTGAACCCAAATAGTGTTTTTTCTGGCAATTTTCCACAGAAAATGCTGCTAAGACTGTTGTGAAGTGGCAGGGCAGTAATGTGTCCTTAAATGTGATTTTCCTGAATAATTGTTTGAAACTGATTATTTACAAGATGCTTCCTGAAGGGAAGTTGAATTTATGTTTAGGAAGTGCTGTGATAAAATTAACAATTTATATATTTAAGTTTTATTGTTTATTTAACTTGTAAAATACTGTGAGAAATACTTGATTTGTTATTTATATTTTTGGCTGTGTATTATATAAATGCTTATTCATTTTAGCAAAGGACAGTGTGCTCCTGTGAGTTTTGATCAGAGCTGAATCTTAATTCCACATCAGAGGAAAAAGATTGGAAATGGTGAAGAAGAATAGCAGAATGTTTGAAGACTAAAATCCAAAGTGCTTTATTAGATTCCAGATTAAAATAAAATCTGGAAATAAAAAAATGAGTTAATCCCTCATCACAGGAAAGACATGAAGCTGTCGGAGAGGATCCAGAGAAGGGCCACAAAGGTGATCAAAAGGCAGGAGCACTTCCTCTGTGAAGACAGGCTTAGGGAGTTGGGGCTGTTCAGCCTAGAGGAGAGAAGGCTCCAGGGAGACCTTATAGTGGCCTTCCAGTACCTGAAGGGGCTACAGGAAAGCTGGGGATGGGGCTTTTCACCAGAGAGGGCAGTGATAGCACACAAGGGGTAATGGTTCTAAACTGAAAGCGGGGAGATTTAGGTTGGACATCAGGAAGAAATTCTTCACCATGAGGGTAGTAAGGTGCTGGAATAGGCTGCCCAGGGAGGTTGTTGATGCCCCTTCCCTGGAGGTTTTTAAGGCCAGGTTGGATGAGGCTTGTGCAGCCTGGTCTGGTGTGAGGTGTCCCTGCTCATAGCAGGGAGGTTGGAACCTGATGATCTTTAATGTCCCTTCCAACCTTAACCATTCTATGATTCCATAAAATGGTGTTATGAAACAGTGAGGTGCTGGAGAAACCCCTCCTGCTTGTCCTTGTTGTGTAAGCAGATCCACAGATCCTCTTATACCCACAGGAAGGCTGTGAAACCTCTTAAAAGCCCTCAGTGGGGATGCAGGAATCTGCAAGCACAGGACAACCTTGCAAGTGTAGCACCAGCCTAACCCACAGTGCTTTCAGTGTCTTTTCTTAGATAAAAGTGTGCCTTCACAACATTGTAAATTTGATGTCTTTTTCCAGGGCTCACTGAAGTGGCTCAGAGGCTCTCTGTTGATTTTGATGAATTTTGGATTATGCTGTAGGGTAATGGCTGTGAAATTCTGACAGCTGCAGAAAAACAAACTGTTTATGGTTTAGGGTTAATGGGCTCTAACAAAAGAAAACACAAATTTTACACATGGCATCAATGTACATAGTGTAACAAAAGGAACCTTAATCGGATTTAAATGAGGTGGGATCTGAAACACAGGCATAATTTAGTGCAATGGAAGAAATCCTGTTTCTTGAAGGAAAATGTAAAATTTTCATTTTAGTAACTGAGCATTTATATTCACTGATGTCAAATGCATGTTTTAATAAGTGTAATAACTTTTGTTTTTCTAGGTTAGTGGATGACCGGTGTGTGGTTCAGCCAGAGGCAGGTGACCTTGCTAATCCTCCAAAGAAGTTCAGAGGTCAGTAACTGGGGATAATTTTTATTTTTTTTAATCACCAATTGATGCGTGTTCCAACTCCTTGGGCACCTTGCCTCACCAGCCATCTCATTTCCCAGATGCCTTCATGGTTTGTGAACACATTCCAGTTTGAAACCAGCAACGTGAGTGACAGATTTTGAGAACTAAATACCAAATCAGCAAAAGCATGAGGAGTTGGTGGAAAACATGGGTAAAGGAACTAGTTTTCTTGAAGTCTAAGAGTGGGTTGCTCTGTTTTGTACACCAAACACTGATCCTCTGCTGTATGACTATGTGCTTGCTCCAAACGTACTCTTACTGTAAATGGGAAACAAGGTCCTGTGGTTCAAAACTAATTGAGCTGCTGGTTTGTTTATTTTTTTAAAAAAGATAAGACAGCATTTTAAGGACTACCTCTAAATACTTTGTCAGTTTTTTGTTTTACTTTCAATTATAACTGTATCTGATTTTTCTCAGCTTTCATAGGCATGGCCTTGTAGGTTTGAATAGTTCTGCTGTTTTGCTTATTATAACAATGCACTAACAGCATGCAGTTTGTGCTCCTTGAATACTAAAACATACTTCTGTGGTATCGAAAGTTCTGTGTGTTTATATGCAGGGAAGGAAACAAACCCTCTCAGTCTTGTCTGTACTTGATTTAAGCCAGTGGCTCTGGCTGTGCCAAAGTAGAGCCTTACTAGCCTAATTCAGACCTCTTTTATCATAAATGGGCTTAGATTCACACCTTTTACCAGATAAAGACAGTTACAGTTTTCCTGGTTTAGAGCAAGGGAGGTGCATTTCACAGCAGCCTGTATCTAGCTCAAGGGGTTGCACTGACATTTTTAAACTTCCAGTATTTATTATACTGTGGTATGTATATTCTATTAATGCAAAAAAAGTTGCATTTAGAACATTGAGAGACTGACGTTCTGCTTTCCTAAAGTATTCAAGATTTTTTTCCATTATATATTCAGGAAATATGACCAGTTGGTTCCAGTTCCAGCTGTGAGCTTTCAGGACATCAGCAGATTTTGGAAGTTGAGAAAGTGAGGATGTGTACTTAGAAACTAATAGTAAAAAATTTCAGTTACTTGTGTGATGTCATGGAATAACTTTACAGCAGAGGTAGGGATAGCATCTAGTTCTCCAGGGTGGCTTTCAGGCTACCTGTGATTCCATCCTCTCACTGCCTGCGAATGTATATCTAATTCACAGCTTCTAGGTTGCACAAAACTTCAGGTGGGGATTCTTTGGACAGAATTTCTGCCACTTCACCACCCATATACATTCTCAAAGTAGAACATGCCCAGGTTTACTAGATGAGACAGGGTCACTGGAAAGATTTGCATGTGATAGTAGAATTGCAGAATACATCCAAATGCCTAGAATCAAGGAGCTGAACAGAACTTTAAGAGGCAACCTTCATTTTTTCATTGTCTGATGTTTGAGGGCTTGATTTTATAACTTCAGTACAGTAGAGTTCTTTTATCATAGTTCTGTGATCTTCTTTCCTAACTTGGAAAGGCAAAGAAGGAAAAAGTTGAGTGTTCTGTGTTGAGTTTTCTTAAAAAAAATAAAATTATTTCAACAGCATCAAGAAAGTCCAGGCACTCTGATCCAGGGCAAAAGGTTACCGAATACTCAGCACTAATGGCATGCCATTGGTGGTGGCAGTAGGGCCTGTGCATGTAGGTCAGATGTCAGAAGGGGATGAGACAAAATAGACATACACGTGTTTGCTGCTGGGGGACTGCAAGGACTAAACTCCTGAGTTACCTCTCGGCTTCTGCAGGGGAAAGTTTTGTCTTACCTGTTGACACTTTTGGCTCTGTCCCCTATAGCAACCTTTGGTCTGTTGCTTGCATAACACATCTCTTTAGTTGCCTCTGCAGCCTCTTCCCCTCAACATCTGTCCTTTCCGCTAACTCAGATCCTCCACTTCTTTGGGTTACCCTCTTCTCCCTTTCCCTTCCTGCCCCAAAACTTGTTACTGGCTATGTTCCTTCTCACTGCTGCCTGTTAGCTCCCTTTGGCCACAGCAGCCTCCCTCCCTGTCATTCCTTTGCCTCCTTCTGGTGCAAACATATCTGACATAATGTTGAAGTGTCTTGCTTTGTGATGTTGCTAGCATTGTGATAGCATGCAACTTTGGATGAACTGCAACATCTGTAGAAGAAGCTATGGTAGTGACAAAATGAGGTTTGTTGCCTTAATAAATGCAACCCACCATGCAGTAACATAATGGCTATATTGTTAGGGGCCCCAGCTAGCATCTAATAGCATACTCATGCTGCTTCAGGTATGTGTACACAATGGCAGTCAAGAGAATGGCTGCAGCAAAGATAAAGCCATAATTTGGTTATTTTCTCCTTCATCTTACAAGTCAAATTCTGAGTGTGGGAATAGCTGGGTTTTTGCTGTGAATACAACAGAAGCTTTCTGTCTCATTGGGATTTAGTGCGTCCTACCATGGAGCTGTCTGTATTATGACAACAACAACAAGCACATCTCTGCAATATTTTGTTAAATTTATTAGCTCTGCTCAAGAGCACTGAGGCAATGGAGTTGCTAAATGTTGTTCTTATAAGCAAGAAAAGTAAGCAAAAAACCCAAATTTCCTCCCCCCTCAAAGAATCTTCTGGGAAGTAGCATTCAATCACAATAGGAAAGTGAATAAAATAAACAAAAATGCTTTAAGTAGCTTCTTGACATAAAAAGACAACTTAATCATGATTGATTAATTGAATGATTAGACAAAAGCAACTAAAATTAGCATCTGACAGCAGGAAGAGTAGGGCCTCTTTAGTCAAAGGAACTGCTGTCTGTATGGTTTACACTGTTTTTATCACGGGTAGCTGAACTGGCGTTGATTTGAGGTTAGAGCATGACCTGCGAGTCAAAGTAGTATGAGAAAGGCATGTTTCTAACCAGATGTTTATATTCCAAGGACTGACTCTGAAAATTAAGATCAGAGGACTGTGTTTGCTATTTTTTGGTAGTATTTTATCAACCCAACAGGAAAAAAAAGGTTGTGTTTTTTGACTAATTGTATCCCTCCCACAGAGTTCACTCAGAGATCAAATTTAGGCACTGAAGCTGTTGGCCTGAACCTACGTAACGAGGTGTCTCAAAATAGCAGTTCCGGTTTTGTTATGTGTTTACTTTGTTTGAGTGGGTGGCAGCTATTCTAGTTGTTTCCAAACATTCTACAAAATGGAGTATTGTAAAGCTAGGGAAAGCTGTAGTTGCGTGTCCTTTTGTGTCCCTAGGAAGAAGCTGTGAGCCAGATTTCTTCAGTCACGTTGGAATGAACTTCGAATGGCTGTGTTCATCAATGTGCATATTCAGATTTGCATCAGTGCAAAGGAGGGCAGAATTTGGTCCCACGTGTGTTTCCTGAAGTCTGTTTACTGTTTTGCAGATGAGTTAAGGGACTGATCAAGCCAGGTGCTTCTTGTCCTCATTCTAACTGAAGCTAGTGAGAGCTAAAGCACTTAGTGCTGTGATGGAAATGCTCACCTTGCTGCAGGAAAGTTGGGTCATGGGCAACAGAATGGCAAGGTTTCTTAGACTGTAACCTTAAACACACTTCAGCTTGACACTGTTATCTCCAGGGGGAAACACTGTCAGCTTCCAACGTGTAAAATAGCACATAGAAGACCTGCTTGTTGGTCAAATTTAGCAACCCTGAAAAAGGAGTGTCAGTCTGTCTTATATTTTAAATGTAAAATGAGTTAAGTTCTTAAACTGATTTAAACTTTCCTACATTTGATACCCTTTTTTCTTAAGATATCTGCAATGAAACTCATGTTCCTAGATATCTCCCTCTTGCCTGTCTGTCAATTCTTAGTCTGTTCTACTTTCTCTGAGTGTTCTTTCCTCTTCTCTTCCTTCCACTGTGTTTCTCTGTTGTCTTTCCTTTCCTGCTCCTACCCTTTTATCTGCTGTCTGCCATTTTCCTTGGTACTTGCCTTCTGCTACATAGTTTTGGTTTGCCTTTGTTTTATTTATGTTTCTCTCAGTTTCATAATTGCTTTCATTATCCTCACAGACTCCTGTTTGCCCTCTCTTGCCCTCCTTAGGACTCTCTATTGCCCAACTCCTTGCTCCCTTGCATTCCTTCCTCCCTTTTCATTCTCACTTCAGCTCTTTTTTTTACCTTCTTGTATTTTTTTTTCAAAGCACATATATTTATGCAAACTGTTATTTTATAGCCCTGTGACTTCCCCTTACCCATTTGTCAGCCTACTGGTTTAAGTAAAGCCATGTGATAAATCTCTAGTTCTGCAAATCATGGAAAATCTTCCATGGTCAGCAAGGTTTAAATTTTTAACATTTAAAAAAAATAAACAAGGGGGTATGGGGAGACAAAGCATCTGACTAGCGTTGTTCTAAGCCATCTTTATCCAATATCAAAAGACGTATAAAAGGCATAATATGAGTTATTTTCCTTTTCAGGCTTCCTGAGTGTAGTTGCTCTTTGCTTAGAGGATGTGCTGTGTGTGATTCTTCCACCCAATGTTGCCTTTTGAAGCCTCATGTTCTGTGCACGTTGGCAGGCTCAGGCAGACGGTTGGTTTGGCGCTGAGTGCGTCCTCTGTGGATTGTTCTCCCGTACTATGGGAGTTGCTGCTTTCTGTCTTTTGATTGTTCTCATTAATAAATGTCATTTCCCCCCCCATAAGTGTGTCTCCACACTGATAATTTATCATATTTTCTTGCTTTCTACTAAGTCAAGGTGCAGTGTGGCAGGCTAAGCCTGGAGTGTGACCGGGGAGAGCGCTTTCTTTTTCTCTTTTTTCCATTTTGTAAAGATAACTGAAGTGATTTTTATTGCTTTAAAAATGTTTGCAGGTTGGTTCAGGCAGTGTTTCTTGTTTTCTCCATTTTCATTTGGTGCACAAGGAATTGAAATTTTGTCTGAAAGGTTTTGTTGGTATGAAAAAACTGATGAAAGTGCAGAAGTTGAATGCATGGAAGTTTAATAAGTGAAACTGGCTGATACCTTTTCAGCTATTTTATTTAAAGCTATTTGTTTACCTTTGATAGTGCCTACTTAATTAGTGTCCTCAGGAAGAGAAGCATTTATGTAAAACTCTGTAAAGTAATGAGTCATAAACTAGGGCTATCTGAGAAAGTCTGGAGAAGTTAGAAGAGACAGTTTGTCTCATGAATGTGTTGCTAGACTGACCTTTGGGAGGGCTGAGCTTTTGATCTACTGTGTGTGCTGGAAAGTTGCTTTATGATTTTATGCCTGAGTTTCTGTTTTTTCCTGTTTATTTAAAATGTATCTGTTCTGGGGCAGGCACTGCTTTTTTCCCCCTCCTGATGTTTAGCACCACAAAGCTTGAATTTGTATGGTATCCTATTTTAAGTCTAATAAAAGTAAGTGGAAAAAAAAAAACAACCCCAAGAAAAAATAATTAGATGACCTGTGTTTAATGTATCTGGAATCTTTAAAAAAAAAAATAAAAGGAGAAAAGCTTGTCTGGAAACAAAGTATATGACTTTTTTTTTAGTCTGTAAAGTGAAGAAAATAAAATTGAGATAATACTGATAAAAAAACACAATAATTTGTAATTCAACTTCTGAAGCACTAGAGTGGAAGTCAGAAGAGCTGTGCTGTGCAGCATGGTTTCAGACAGGGGTTTGTGGTGCCTGAGGTTATCTAGTGCCTGCTCCACGTTCCCTTTTCTTGGAGAACTCTCATAAGGAGAAGTTCAGGCCCACGCCGTGGTGACTTCACATCTGTGTACATCTCCCATTTCTCTGCACTGTGCTTCAAGACTGGGTGAGGATGGGAAGTGGTGTGTTTACTGAAGTAGCAGGATGTGTGGGGAGTAACTGAGAAATGAAGACTGGTCCTATAAAAAGAAGATATTGTTACTTCAGAGACAGAAGTGTTTAATTAAGTCTTCTGAGGAGGCACGTTAATTATAGATTGTTACAGGAAATAATAGCAGACTTCTTGTCTTACGAGCTGAAATCCTGATACTCAAAGTAAAATCCTGTAGAACATACAATATGTTTTAACAGTACACAGTGTATTGTAACACTGGAGTCTTTTTTTTCCTTCTCGGTGTCCAGAATATTGTAAAAGTTACCTACTCTAGGTTGTGGGATATAGTTCTCATTGTAAATGCTCCCCTTTGAAATGAAAGTGGACACCTTTGCAAGGCTAGGTTTGCTTTGATAAAGATTTGTAACCCTTTCTCCTAGGAACAGCTCAGGGCTGTGATTAGGAAGCGTATCACTGAGGGCTTTGGGTCAGTGCCAAGGAAGGTTCTACCACTGGCCGTGTTTTTGTATGAACAAGCTTTGCTGCTACAAATTGCAGAGGAAGATCAGTTGCTGTGAAGGGAACAGTCAATGCAATGGGAAGCCTGGTTTAATGATGGTCAGTATGTGAGAGGCCAGATGGTGCATCTGCAGAACTAAAAGTGTTGGAGCTTAGTTCGTGGCTTGAGAGGCAGCAGTGTCACAAAATGCTAGCTCTGGGGGCTCGGGCAGGGAGAGGAACGTGCGGCACGATCTTCAGTGGTTTTGCCAGCACTAAAACCAGATAGCTGTGTTTAGCTGGGTCTGATTGTCATTGAGAGTGCTGCCTGTTTTTAAGTCACGTGTGCTCGTTTTTACTTGGGAAAGGCAAGGCTAGTCTTCCCACTAGATTTCCCTTCCTTCTCCTGTTGCATTAAAAGAGGTGTTCCTACCGTAGCGTGGTGTCAGTAACTCCTCTCAGCCTGTGACAAGATGGGGATGTTGGAGGATATGCAGAGCGAATCTCGTAACAGGAGCTGAATCTCCTCCTCTTCCTCCTTGTGTGAAATAGTGTAGATTGACAGTGCTGAGAAAGGGAAGAGGCTCTGCTTTGGTGTCTAGCATCTTCTATAGAGAAGCTGTGAGTTTGACACTTGAAGTTCTACTCATCAGGGTGGAACAGTTAGGAAACTTTTCTCATCACGTGTATGATAGATGGGATTTCGCATTTGGTCTATTGTGGATTGTAGAGCCGGAATAAGTCCTAGGTAGTTAGCAACTGCAGATGTTAAACTTGCTCTGGGAATTTGATAGTGAGTAGGACAGCACTGTAAAATAGAAACTGCTGCTGACCTGACTCAGTGGTTAAAAACCCGGATCATGATGTTGGGCTAGTTCCCTATAGCTTCCCCTGCTGATGTTGTTGAGGCAGTAATGGGTGAATGACGAGATTACACTGTATTTAAAAATGACATGCAAGGTTGGTAAATCTAACAGGGTTATCCACACATTGATCCAGCATGTAACTGGAGTGTGTACTTAGTGTTGATATTGCAGTTGCTATTTCATATTGCAGTATCTTTGATAACAGAGATAAGGGTGACTGTACAGTGCTGTTGGAAAGGAACTAATTTTGGACAAGGCCGTAGGAGAGCTGAAGGTAGAGGGGACTGTTTTCAGATTATTCTGTTGTGTGTGATGTGTATGCCATTAACTGTGTTGAGTGCAGTGGTAAATAAGCACTTCCGCTTGCTCACATAGAGCTAGCATGTTTGTTTTCCTCTTTTTCTTTTCTGTATTTTTGTGAGGAGCACTGTCTGTGCCATATTCTGTGCAGTGTGTATTTCCAGTGGTGTTGCAGAGCCTCTTCTTTGTGAGAAAGTTGCCTGATGACCATCAAAGAAGCAAAGTTGCCAATTCTGGGGTATGCTTGTGAGATCAGTAGAGGAACTTCCTTATTCTTAATCCAGCCGTGGGGCAAAACCTCTTCTTAGTAGGATATATTTCTGCTGTTATCCAGCTCTATCTTGTGCCACAGTTGGGTGACTGGGAATCAGGTAGGAATACTTGCTGCCCTCCTGTTTCTGCCTTCCTGATACTGTGGCATGGAGCAGGGAGGAAATTCTTTTGAGATCATTCTCCTCTGAGGGTGGATTACTCCTTAGAGAGTGTTTGGCTGGCTGTGGCAGTTAAATATGGAGGGCTAATAATTTGGGATGGATCTTCCTTTGACACGTCTAAATTGCAACCCACGTTGGAGAAGAGTTTCACACTAAAATACACGTGTAGTCTTGTATGATCTTACCAGTCTTACAGCAAAACTCTGCTTGTTAATTAATACTTTCCTGTCCCTTCCTCTTGCCATCTGATACATGTGGGGTGTGAAAGGACAATTACCAACATTTGCTAAGTAAAAGGTCTTTGAAGCCTAGCTTTTAGAGAAGCTGGTTGTCAAGACCATGCAAGTTTAGATATCATTTATCCCTTTAAAAGCAGTCAGATTTGGGTGAATTGTGAGCCTCTATTTCTAGTTCACAGGACTGTCATGGGCCCAAAAAAACCCACGAAGTCTCGAGTCAGGGAATTTAACAGAATTTAGTTTACTGCAAATTAACATTAATTTTCAGTTCTTGATTCCAATACTGGGAGATACCGATGAACAATTGAGCAAGCACTTCTAGAAGCACCTCTTGGTGCACCCTTCTTGGTTCCCAGCCCCCTCACTGCACAGGGTCCCCATGGCAAGGGGATGAGGGCATGGTGCAGATTTTCTTTACTGTTCTTCCTTTTTTGCTCCCTGTCTACCCTGTGGGCTGCAGTCCCCTCAGGGTGCACCTCTTCCTCTATTGTAATTTTCATGGCCACCCTGCTTTGGAGATTTCTCTTGAATGGCCTTCCCTCCCTCCTTACCCATTTTTTGCCTGGTCTGTTGGATTGTGGTGGTGTTCAGTTTGTGTCACTGTTGTTCTTACTGTTAGGTTTTTTTTCAGTCAGTCTTAGTGAAAGGGAATATAGGCCCAAACACTGT